AGTGTACTCCATGGCTACGTGAAGACCATTTTTGTGTCCGATTAACTTCATTCTGCCTCAGTTGTAAATTTGGGGGGAAAAAAGCTAGTTGCTTCCCCCTGCACACCCGAGCTAGGAGTTAAAGACCAGCACCAGTGAAATAGCACCTGAGCTGCTGGGTTTAATCCCATGTTCAGTTTACTTTGTTCTGCCCCTGTGTTTTCAGTTGCAGTTCTGTACTTGCAAGACCTCACCAGACTGAAGAGCTAATCCAGGAGGATGTACGGGGCTGCCAAGGGAAAGCTGGGTTGATGAGGTAGGTGCCTGTGCTATTTCTTCCTGCTCGAATCATCATCAGTGAAGAGTTAACAGCAACAATAAATTATTCTTATGTTTCCAGCGCTGTGGTATCTGGAGCCTTCCCCAGCTCCTGGGTCTGGCTGTACGTCCCAGCAGCATGCGAGTCCCAGGGGTTTTCATGGCTTCATCGCCTACAGAATAGTAATGTGTGGGAGTACAGTTGTCAGGGGTATGGCGGACACATGGGTATGTGACAATATCCAACCTATGTTTCATAAATTAAATGACTAATTCATAAAGAGAATTTGTCACACTCCAGGAGCCGTGCTGAAGCTGAATGCTGGCTTGATTGCAAACATCCATTTAATGGCTGGACTCACTGCCATCACGGCCATTTTAAACAGATTTCCTTCGGTGTGTGGGCACGAATTGTTGGGCAGGCTGAAAAGATCTTTGTCCTTTGTAGCGTAAGGTCTGGGGTCTGAAAGCTGAGCATGAGGAGAATAGCTCCTGGTCCCTGTGCCCACCTCCCTGGAGGCCCCCACTCCTCCGCTTCTGCCCACCCTCCTTGCTGGGCTCAGGGAGGGTCTCCAGAAGGGAGGTCTGCTGAGGTTAGATGTGAAGTTTTTGGACTTTTCATGGCAGAAATGTTGGAGAAAAATAAGAAAAATGTTTTATCGGCATTCTTAGAGGAAAATTGCAACTTTTTAATGTTTCAAGTTTATTTTTTTCAACGATTTTTTTTTCAAAGAGAGAAAAACAGAAACTTTGTTAAAATCCTAGTTTTCCAGAACTGAGTGAATTTAAACTTTAGAGGGTTACTCTCTGTAATAATAAAAGCCACAATGTGTTTTCAAAGACAAAGGGAAGAAGGGTGCCCTGCTCTAATTTGTGGTAGAAGTGGTGCATATGAGTAACAGCTTTTATAACATGAATGTAAAGGATGTGCTGTTTGTTATGGGAGTCATGGCTCCCTGTAGCTGCCAGAGATCACCTTTCTCCACAAAAGAATTCACACAAATATTGGATTTGGAAAAAAAAAGAAAAAAAGATGGTAAAAACACAAATTAGGGTTGATTTGGACATGACATTTTTCTGTTTAACATCATAAAAGCCAGTTTCCATCTCTTACTAGTGGTTTAAATAAAGGCTAATTCCACTGAAAATGTTGTTTGCTCCCGTAGATAGGAGTGTCAAGCAGAATACATCTAAAAGAAAGAACTACTAAGCAGATGTCTGATTAAAGATAAATGAAAATATCTCATAATATGTCAATGGAATAACATTAGATGAACCTGAGGATCCAGTGGATTTAAGTTTAGAATATAAATGTTAGGAGCAAGTCAACAGTGTTCCCATGCTCATCCTATAAAGTTAATTACAGATAAACTTCCCCTGCCCTCAGGCTCAAGGAAAGAAAACAGACAGGACTCAGCACAGATCTGAGAGAGACATAAAACTGGCACCAGTTGAAATTGCATCCCCTGGAGCCATCAGGTAGCACTTCTTGCATCCTTATTGTGGCTGAACACAATACACGATACACCACACACCACACAGGAAAACCCCAAAATGAAGGGATGGCTCCTAGGGAGGTGAGAAGGAGGCAGTGTCAGCCCCTCTACCACACCACCCCCAGGGTAATATGTGCCTGGACAGGAGATTTTTCCATGCATGATGCATGGAAACTCCAGTACTGACTGACATTAAGTATCAGGTTTGCAAGCACTGTGGTGCCAAAGCTGTCTCATTGCCTCCAGCCTGGGATACAGAAAATTTCCCTAACCGTGCCACCACTGCCCACCAGGCACAGCCCTGCAGCGGCAGGTCCCCACCCTGGCTGGGGAGAAACCGGCTTTGACCCCAAGCAACGCTTTTTTGCCATGCTGACATACCCATCGCAGCAAGCGGCAGCTGCTTTTGAACTGGGAAAGTAACAGGGAGTCTCATCCTCCAGTTATCCAATCCTTAGCCTTTTGGTAACGATGTTTTTGGAAAAAATTGGTTGTTAAGTGGCAGACTATCTCTGCCTCTCATCTTTTCTGCCACATGAGCCTGCTCTCCTTGCACAGGGTATAGGTTTCTAGTAATGTGAGTTCCTGCTCGGCTCCACAATAGCCTTTCCAGAAAATGTTAAAAATGTGCACTGCATTAAAAGGTGCATGAAGATGAGCCAACTGGCTCGCTGCTAGCCCCGCACGCAAGGTAGCGTTACCACCCAGGGCGAAGGGGCTGCGCCAAGCAGGGCAGCAAGAAAATCCCAAGACAGAAGCAGTGAGCGTTGAGCTGCCTGGTCTAGGGAGGGTTCAAAGGGAAGAGACAGAGACAGCAACTGCCATTGGTGTAAATCTGAATTTATCTGTGTAGGAGCATGTGGGATGGAGGGCCAGCGTGAGTATTTGCATGCCACGGGGCAAAGGAGGCTTAGAGAGGGCTTCGTTCCCCTGTATTAGTGGTAGGACACGAGCTGCACGCCACTGAAAACAATCCTTTGCATTTTTAAACCAAGACACTGTGGGTACACCACTTCTTCCAATTGGTCCAGTATAGGCATTTAATAGGCTAAACAGTGTAATACATCTACAGGACATACATTAGTCGAGTATTATGTACAGGTGGCATTTTACAAAATTAGAAAGAACTGAAATAGAGCAAAATCCAACAATGTCTTACTCCATAAAACTTCCTTTCTGCACTACATGAAATATTCTACAAGCTAGACTAGAAAAATATGACTGAATGTCTTTTTTTTTCCTTTTTAGTTTCTACAAAGCTTTTAATCCAGAAAAAAAATACAAAACAACTATTGAGTTTATTAGAGAGACAACACTTGCACACAGACAAAGTAAGTGGACACTCACAGACCTGCAAGTTGAATAAATAGGGTTTGGTTGTATAAACAATTTTCTCTCTATCTTGCTCTCCTATTTTAGGGCCTCTGGCCCATGTTCAGAAAAATAAAAATGAGAGGAGGAGTTTGGCTTTGCGTGGTTGTTAAACTGAGGCCACATGGCTTCAGAAGAAAGCTGTAGCTTGAAGCATTCATTTGCTTCAGGTAAAATACTTCAAGGGAGCAGCGCAAAAGAAGGAAAAGGAAAGAGAGGAGTAATTAGGCTGGAAGGAGGAAATCTGGCATTTCTATATGGGCTGTAGCGTTATGTACTAGGATGGAAAAAGTAGTGCTGTGTGGCGTTTTTTCAGGGTGTATGTAGAATTTTGTTGTTTCTTTGGGAAGCTTATTTAGGGAAGTGCCATTGACCTCAGGTGGAAATAGGATAAGGGCCATCCAGAGCAGGAAGGGAGGGAGCGTCTGAAAGCAGATAGAGAGCACATAAAATTGGGGGAAGTGTTTCAAACAACTGGTTTTCCTTTTACAAAGTGAAAAGCAAATTAAGTGATATGTCTAACGTCATTCCTCACGGAGCTGGGCAGACGCAGATTGAAAGGAAATCACACAGCTCAAAATATGTCGTCACCGTCGTTGTTTTTCCCCCAGAGCTTTGTAAAACTTCTTGACAGCTGATGCAAAAGCAGTGTTTAAAGAGCACCTCGCATCTGCCGGGCCACCTCGCCAGCCCGGCCTTCCTCACGCTGCATGCAGCTGCAGACAGGTCCGAGCCAGGGACCTCCTGTCGCTGCTCATGTGCTACCCAAACACATAGCTTGAGCTTGTTCTCGCTTCGTTGGCTTTACCAGAAAACTGTCACCAGCAAAGGGGGTGACAGGGACGGCAGCCAGATTTAGGAGGTGCTCTTGAAACCTTCAGTTACTCTGGTGAAATTCGGTGCTCTGACCAGAATCCCACTCATCCAACAAAATAATTCTGTGACAGCGTAGGTAAGAGAGTCTACATCAAGAAGGCAAAACAGATTGTTATATAGGTTGAGAGAGCAAAGTTTAAGTATCACATTATACTATACTACACTGCTTATAAAAAGGGTCCTAGTTCCCGAACGCCCCAAATAATGAGCTATATAGTTTTGTACATAAATTAATGTTGCTTTGAAGTAAAATAGTCTCTTTCCTTTGTATTAAACATTCATTGCACAGAATTCTTTGTAAGTAAATATATTAAATTTGGTTGCTAAGAAGGTATAAACTTATCTTATTAATACATCTGGCCAGTAAATTTTATCCACCATCACATGATTAAAAGTTGCTGTTAGAGAAAATTATTACTGGAGAAAAGAAAGCACTTGGAAGTCAACTTAGGAGTTAACGCTGGAAGAAATCCTGTTATTTCGTTCCACCTACAGCGAGCGGCTTCTTCCAGCTGCAACATTAATTGGAAGTACAGACCCCATCCAGCCCTGCAGAGATGGAGAAAGCCAGCTTCATAGCTTATGGGACACTCATCACTGACACAGTCAAACCCTTTTGGGTACATGCATTATCTATCTCCACCAACACTGTCCAAAGGGTAGTGTTTTGGGCTGAGACTGATGCTTCTCCTGGGACGGTGGGAGGGAATCTCTGGGAGGTACCCGTGCAGGAACGGGTTCACCCCTGTCAAAATGGCCCCCAAATCCCCAAGGAAAATCCACTGGAGGCCTGAGGCACCCAGAGACAGCTTGTCCCACCGTGAGCTCTGGTCTGCAGGAGGTGGCCGCACAACCAAAGCCGAGGGGGCCCTGCCGCGGGTTGAGGGCACCCCCCGGTGCCCATGCTCCTGCTGGCAGCGCCGCTTGGGCAGGAGGGAGGCAGGTGTGCATCCCGCCACCTTGGCACTCCTCCACCCCCTTCTACTGTGGGTGGCTTGGGCGGGACCTGGCATCAGGCAAAATGGAGGGCAGGTTTAGGCCGTGCCATGGAGCTCCTGTCACCCACCCCCCACCACCGCCCAGCTTGGGTCAAGGGAGGAACAGCTGGGCCTCTGCACCCACGTTATACACAAAACATACCAAAAGAAGAATTGTCACAACAATTTCTATTAACAAGGTGGGACAAATCCAGCCCTGGCGGGAGCGGGAGCCATCTCGTTGGCTTCAAGGGAGACGAGTGCACGCCACGCCACGGCTGGACCTGGGCCTGAAGAGTGCACGGACAGCACGATCCACCCGACCAAGCCTACAACAGATAGCCTCACTCCACAAACACCAGCGACTAGCTAATCCGCTTCGTCAATGTACAGCGAGAAAGCGTTTCCGAAAGGCGTAAGTCTTATTGAAAAGGCGGCTTAAGAAAAGGCTGGTTCATCCGAATTTGCACAGGTTAGCCAAAGGGAGAGAACTGCTCTGGGCTGCCCCTGGGGCGGCAGCTTGGAGGCAAACCTTACACTTGCGTCTCTATACAAAAGTTACAAAATCAAATGGTGACATTATATTACATCTATTGTCCATAATATCACAGTGCTAGTTTTAAATGGCTAAAAACAAGAAAGGTTTTAGATTTAAGACATCCCTCCTGTAGAAATGTAACCCCTTTGTCCTGCTGTTGATACCTGAAAGCAGCCTTGCTTGAATAAGGTAAATCCAATGAAATGTGCTAATTGAAATTAGGAGCATTTTTCCTTGATAATCTCGTGTTTCCTAACACGTCCCATTGTTTCCCAAGGAAAAATTAAACAAATAATATGAATCCCAGCCTGAAAATCAAAATGTTGAAAAGAACAGTTCTAAAGCCCAGACGCTTCTTACCAGGTACTAACTAAATAAAACCCTTGCAGATTTAAATACAGATTACTTTGACACGTCTTCAGAGTGTGTTAGCTTTCCAACAACATTCACAATGAAGTTTCACTTCTGAGGCCTTGGAGTCCCTACTCGTCCTCTTCAGTTCTGCTTTCCAGAGCATCTGTACTGTCTTCCACTTCTTGAGCTGGGTGAGCTAAAGTATCTGCAAAGAAATAGTTCATCAGCATTTATTTCCCCATACAGGTACAACAGTCTTCATTTGATTCCCTGTTCCACCAGAGAGATGATCCGTCATGGTGCTCAGACTTGACATGAGCAATTCACTCTACTTGCAAACCAGTAGTTAAACCTGGAGTAGGGTACTCTGAGTGCATCACAGCATGACTTTACAGGGGATGTCAGACCTCAGGATGGGTAGTGAAATGAGGTGACGATCCCTCTCGTTAAAAGCAGGACAGCCGCCGTAGTGGGAGGGCTACCTGCTGTCTTAGTGAAATCTACTCAAACTCTCAGTCCTGAAGACATAACAAGTCCTAACGTCACTGCACAAAAACAACGCAGAGGCCCTAACGTGCCACCTGGAGGTCAGGCCATAGATTTGGCTCATATTTCTTCTTGAATGATCAAATCCTGTGGTTGCCACCACCCAGAAATGCCAAGTGGAATAGCAGGTGATTTGACACTTCAAGATCAGACCATTTGTCATCACCCCTTTGAAGGTAAGGGAAGGTGTATCTTGCACCCTATCCTGGCTGCTGTCTCTGGGCATTTGGGTGGCAAATGGTGCACTGAAATGGAAACCGTGTCACTCTTTAAGGGAAACGGAGAGCACTGAGATGAAAAAAACAGAAATAAATAGACCAGTTCCATGCTGGAGCATTCACAGTGCAAGCTACACTCCAACAAGCTCTTATCTTTAGCTTGTCTTTGTATTTACCCCACAGTGACACTACTAGTCATATCTACATATTTGTGAGCTCCTGCTACATTAATGCACTCCTGGGACACCATGATGTGGTGCACATTTGAAAATGAGCAGCTGTTAAACACTTTGCTTTTAGGCTAGGAGATAGGGAGGTACATATATGCTATTGAACAGGAAACACCGTTTCCTCGAGTGAACTGCTGATGTGCAGTAAACTGCCTGTTGGCCATGCGAGTGGCCAGCACTGAGCCTGATGTGGATGAAAACACCATGTGCTCAAAAGCTACAAGGAAATTTTCAGTCCACAGGACTCCCAGTGCAGGTGTTTCTGGGCATCTTCAAGCACCTACTGCTCTTTGGTACACTACTGACTCAGTGCATGGCATGGCCTGAAATTGCTATTTTCCTATGGGGAACAAGGATGAAAATTACTCATTCAGACCTTCCAGATCCATCTGCTGCTGCTGCTGCTGGACACAGACTCTTTGGTCACCATGAAGACCCTTGTCTTCTGCTGATTTCAGGTCATCAGGAGGCCAGCGCAGCTCCCCGCTCTCCACCTCCCCGGACTCAGTCGGCTCCACCACGATCGACGGCAGTCTTTTGGACAGCTTGGGGTACTTCTCACGTGAGTCTGGGAAGGCCTGGTGAGACATGTGGGGACATGCCTGTCAAAGCCTTGCCCAGGGATGCATATTCAGAGCAAGCAGAGCACACACCCCATCTTAGCATCCTTTCTACATTTGACATGCACTCCCATGTCCACCAAAAAAACCCCATTCAAACTGGTGTAGGGCAAGCAGTCCTGCACAAGGAAGATTTCAAAAGCTCCTCACCGGCCAAGCATGGACACAGAGGGGCTAATAGGTCTCAGCACACTCTCCCCTGCACATGCTGTCCCTTGCTGGGCAAAGACTAGGACCAGAAAGCCAATTTTGCTTGCCAGCATGTGGGGCAGACGATTGCCATGACTTGTGTGATCCGATGGGCACAGTAAAAATGGAGACTTAGGTGACAAAATTCATTATGTTGTGAAACACTTGTGTTTCAGTTCTGGTGGGTTTTTAGGACACAAAGGTCATTGCTGTAACACTAAGCTAAATGGCTGCTGCAGCACTTCTAGCTGCTGTCCTTTTACTCTGATATGATATTCATGTTTTCTTGCGGTGACAGTTGATTAAGAAGCCACCATTCTGCAGAGCTATTTTATGTAATGTGAAACACTGTATTTTATGATGCATTCATGCAAAATAGGTAGCCCCAGAGATCATTTTTACACAGAGGATGGTGCCAGCTATTATTTTCATTTGTCACATTGAAGCTGCAGGTCAAACACTGTGCAGCGATTAGAGATTGAAGCTGAACTACATCTTTTTAGTGAAGGATATTGTAACACATAGAAGTGCTTTCTTGTTTTCAACATAGCTGGTTCAGTTAAATCTCTCGGGGTACTTTGTTTTGGATTGGGTTTTTTTCTGGGGCTTTTTTGAGGAAAATTAATTCTGGCTCCTCCAGGATGTTAACATAAGACAAACTCTGTTGCTGCTTCACTGAAACCTTATTTCCGGCTTCTCAAATGTCCATATACCTGCACTAATGGGCTCTAAATTTCTCCATGCTAGCTGAGTTTTGTTTTATTTTATTTGTAACAATAAAAGCAAGGTGCAGACTAGGGGACTGAAGGGACTGAACTAGGGGTTGAGAGCAAGAACCATCCCTGTTTAACTCCAGGTGCTGCCACAGGTTTGCTGTGTGCCGGTGGGAACCTCCGTGCATATCTGCAACACGGTCACCATTGAATCAGAGCCTCTGGTTAGACTGAGCACCGCTGTTATGTGAGCCAGTCTCAGCACTGCTCCTGCTACGAGCACAAGCAGAAACATTCATATATTCCCTAAACACCATAAAACCGGGCACATCCACCAGGACATTGCCAGGGACCTGGAGACTGTAGGGTCATAACCCAGGTGTTTGCTCCACCGGCTTTTGCAACCTTCCTTCACCCCATGAGCTGCTCTCTCTAAGACCTTACGGTTTAGTTGTCCCACGTGGCATCAGAACTGGCACAGGGAGGCAAGCCCTTGGGAAGGGCAATTCCCTTCCTATGTGTCTGGGAAGCAGCAAGCACATTTTTATCATTGCTGCGATGCCTGTATCTGACTTCTGGAGATGGGGAAGGACAATAATTCTCATCCTCACGCCCTCGCTCCCCATGGTAGTTTTGCAGGGATTCATTACTCTTTGCAAATCTACACGAAGGTGGAAAATGTTGTATCGTATTGTTAGTGTTGCAAAGTGAGACACAATTAAGAAGGAATTTTTTTTTGTGAGCAAGCCCCTTCAGTGCAACTAGACCGAGTGAATCACTGAAGGTACACCGTTCTAATGCCTTCCTGAGCTGCACCCACATGGGCGTAACTCGTCCTGATCAAGCAATGCTGCTTGTGCTGCCTATCAGAAAAGTTCCCCCCAACTTCCCATTACACAGCCTCCTCCTGAACTGTTTATAATTTGGAAAGACATTTCCATGGCAGCTGTCTTGACAGGGGAGAATTTTTAAGAAGCTGCTAATATGATCCTGCTATTTCCAAATACGAGACAAGGTAAAATCTCCTTGGCCAGGACAGGTCCAGAGACACCCCTGAGCAGCAGTGCACTCTTCTTCAGTGCTCCCTGAGCCTCACGTCTCGGCTGGCAGAAAATAGCCATAAAATTGTGGGCAAATTGCCTTATTTCCTCCCAGGGCTGCACATACAGGTGACAGTGACCAGTTCCTCCGGCTGCTGCTCAGCCTGCTCGGGTGGCGGAGGGCTGCATGAGAGCAACCCCGTCTCCAAGCCTGCCAGCAAACCCTGGCAGGGGGATCCAATGCAACAAAATTTCTGCTTTTTCTGTCTGCTTTCTGAAGCCCTAGGAAATGACACACGCTGATCTACAAAAGTGCTAAAAGGAGATTATTATGGCTGCAACAAAATTTAGGAAAGGCACCTGTGCGGCCTCAGCTTGGCTATTTTTGTTTGTGTCATTCTCATATGGTCTTTTCTCACACCAACCACATAATGTTTTTTTCCACCGGAGCCCAGTATTTACCACGTCCCTCCAGGAATGAGTCAGGACTGGCAGGAAGCAGAGCTGCCTGTCCGGCCTCGCTGTGTTTTTCTGCGGAAGCTGGAGTATGTGATGAGTGGGCAGGAGACTGCAGGAAGAGAAGGACAGGTCTCCTGGCCAGAGTGCTTCGAAGTTGCTGGAAGAAACCTAGTTTTCCCGCTGAGTTGCTGACTTTGTGCTACCTCTCGTTTCTTTTGCTTTTTTACCTCAGTTGGCCATCACTAAAATGTGGATGGTATCACCTTCTCCCAGAGGGGTAGGGTAAAAGAGCGGGGGGAAAAACCTCTGGAGGATATGATCAGGGACACCACAGAAAAGCCATGAAGACATAGGTGGAGTCGGAGTTGGCACAGAGTTTGGACAGTGTACACTAACACAATAATGAAAACCTGGGACTCAGTGAAAAAGAGGAAAGAGAATATTGAAAATGTGCTCTTTGAGTGAGCAGCATCTATTGTGTGTGGTCGACGAGGCACGGGAAAGCCTATGGTACCCTTATTAATTGCATACAGTCTTTCATTACATGCACAAGTGATCCGAAAGGAATTTGCAAAATTTCAGTTCTGACTTCACTGGCTTCCAAATGCTTGACTTTAACCTGCAACAGGCTTCTCCTAAAGTACCTTTCTGAGTCCGCCCACAGTAATACATCTTGTGTTGAGAAGTAACTCAGGTCCACCAGAACATGTTTAGGTGGTTTGTCCCCAGCAGTGACACCGAGAGTCACGAGCACAACCACAGAGCACAAATCAGGGCATGGAGGTTGTCACAAGAGGGGCTCGTAATCCCTCCTGCTGGAAACAGCACCACAAGCAGGTACACGAGTGGGTGTCTGAGACCGCCTGGGGACAGAAAATGCTCTTCCACCTGCCAGCAAATGGCCCTGACCAGTGCTGCTGCTACGATGCCACGGCCATTTATGTGAACTACACCATCATTTCAAATGGTCTCTTTTCTAAAAAGGGAGCTCCCTCTGAGCCTGAGGAAACTTAGCTCATTACAAGGGTGGCCATATAAAAGCTGTGGTACAGTATTGGCTGGATGCCTTCATCACGCGATGGTTGCTCAGACAAACACCCTCTTTGCCTGCATCCCCACAGGGGCAAGGCATCGCTGCCACCATGCCCTGGAGGCCTGGCACCCAACAAAACCCTCCCGCCAGAACTGTTACCTTTTAAAAATAAAACCTAAGTAGGATCAAACATGTATTTCAGGGCTTGTTCTTCTGGCAGCTGTGCTCTGCAATTCAGCATCTACGTGCATGACAGTTAGTGGTTGCATTACATTGCTTTTGAAAAGCAGCTCAGGATACTTCCCAGTTTTTCTAAAGTTACCTGGCTTGAAGGGCCTCCTTCCTCAGGAGTCTGGCTGAGTGTGAATTCCTCCATCACCGGTTCCCGTGTGTTCATCACCTCTGTCATGCTGTGAATATTAAATCAGAATTGGAAAACTCAGCTCTGAGCTTTGGCCCCATAGTTAATTTAACAAAAGACTTTGGCTTTTCATATTTGTTAAAATAATTGTGTTACAGATTGTCCTTTCTAAATAGCCCCCCGAAAAGTGTTTCCTTGGCCCTCCAAGCCAACTGCTACCACTGCATGCCATGATGCAGAGCAGGGCATCGACTCCAGCTGCCCCCCCCCAGGACAGCAGAGAGGACC